CACTCTCCCCCCCCTCCACCAGCCCCCCCCAGGGCTCCCCCCGGGCCCCCCTGGACCACCAGGCTTCTGGCCAGGGACCACAGGGCCGGCAGGAGCAGCTCTTGATCTGCGACCATCGCCTCCAGGCCGCAGCGGTCTCCGGAAAGGTTGGCCAAAGCAGCAGCGGCCGTCAGCTGCGTGTGTGTATGCATGTATGTATGTACGTAGGTATGTGTGTATGTATGTGCGTGCGTGCGGGCGGGGGGGATTGGGGATAGGGAGGGGGTGGGTTGAAGCGGAGGATTTCCAGGAGTGTGAAAGCTGGGGGGTAAGTGTGTGTGTGTGTGTTTTAGACTTATCTGAGCCGCGATATGGGGACAGACCGAAGTGGATGCACGAGTAACTCTGTGTGTATGTCTATGTGCGTGTTTGTGTGTCTCTGTGTGTGGTGTAAACACACACACTGTGTGTTTTAGGAGACCTAGGAGGTTAAGGGAGGTCGAGAGGGGTTGCGCGGGTGGGCAAGGCGGGGGGTGGTGACTCAGGGCTTCAGTCTTCAATCTAGATTTCAGGGAGCTCCAGGAAGGCTCCCAACTCGCTGAATCCCAACCTACATATGCCGCAATGCACACCCATCTCCACACACACAGACACACACACAGACACACACCACCACTACTATCACAACGGCCCTTCCCAAACCTCCAACACACATACATACATACGCGTACATTCCCGGGTACCTGTTTTACCTCAACACACGCACCTGCACTGCCTGCGTCCGGGCAGACGCCTCCGGGCTCTGAGGAAGCAGGGGCGGCAGGCCGGGGGGATGGCCCTCGACTACTGCCGCCGGCATTGACCCCCCTGCGGACGGGTGTTGTCCAGTTCCTGTCGTCGCCGCCGCCGCCGTCAGCAGCCGTACCAGGGTGGGTACGGTAGCGGGGTCCGACGCCAGCTCCTGACGCCCCCGCTCACTGCTCGCCAGGTTGCGGATGGCAGCTGGGGGGAAGAGAGGCAGGGCGCGCGGGCGCGTGTGTGTATGTGTGTGTATGTGTGTATGTGTATGTTTTGGTGGTATGGCCCGGTACAGGCTCTCTCCTCCAGAAGCACTATCAGAACTTGGGTGTCACTGGGGGGACAGTAACACCGAGCTAAGCAGTGCGTGCGTACCCCTACTTTCTCCCCTCACGCACTCACCCAGTAGGGGCTCCATGTAAGGCCCATCTGGGTCCATCCGGCTCTCCCTCAGCTGCCGTACAAGCTCCTTACCCACGCCCCGTACCCCGGAGATCACCGCCGCGGTGGCGTTATGACCCGCCAGGTTGCCGACCAGACCGGCTGCGTAGCTCTGTATGTCGAGCGGTCGCATCTAAGCGACAGGAGGAGGGAGGAAAGGGAGGAGAGAAGAATGGGGTGTTAAAAGCGAGGACAGAGAAGAAAAGGGTGGAAAGCGGGTGAGGGGGAAAGAGGGGC